TTGTAGAGCAGAGGTCTCGCTGCCCAGGCGGGTCTCGAACCCGCGGGCTCAGGCCATCCACTCACCTCAGCCTCCCAAGGGCGCGGGATTACAGGCGGAGCCACCGAGCCCCGCTGGGTTTTTGTTTTTTTAGAAACAAAAAACCAAAACAGGGTCTCGCTCTGTCGCCCAGGCTGAAGCGAGTGGTGCAGTCATAACCCACGACAGGCTCGAATCCTGGGTTCAAGCGATCCTCCCGCCTCGGCCTCCCACGCCCGGCTGATTTTATTTTTTGTTGAAGCGAGGCTCCCTGTGTTGCCCAGGCTGGTCTCGAACTTCAGGGCTCAAGGGATCCTCTCTCCTCGGCCTCCCTCAGGGCTGGGATGGCAGGTGGAGCCACTGTGCCTGGCCACCGCCTCATGCCTTCACCTTCAGAATGGGAACACTTCCTGCAGTCGGTGCGGTTCCACCTGCTGTGCCCCGTCCTCGGGTGGGCGTCCCCGCGGCTAAGGGCAGCGCGAGGATCGAGCAGGGGCAGCTGTGCTGGGACCTGAGGAAACGGTGGGTGGAGGCGGACCGCCGCGCCCTGGCGGCCTCTGTCTCCGAGGCCGGGCACGCCCCTCCCTCCCTTGGCCCCTGGAGGCTGAGGAGCCGCCAGAGCTCTCCCCGACTCGCGTGCTGCGGGTGGCCGGTCTCCGGCCCCCACCTGGTGGCGGTGGGGACGGCGGCCTGCAGGTGGGCTGGCTCACCCCGGCGCGCTTCCCGCAGACCTGAACCGGACCTTCCCGGACAACGTGAAATTCCGGAGGACGGCAGAGCCCTGTCTGCAGAAGACGCTGTACAACGTGCTGCTGGCCTACGGGCGCCACAACCAGGGCGTGGGCTACTGCCAGGTGGGCCAGGCTCCGTCTCCCGGGGGCCCCTGGGTGGGGGGTAAGCGGGGACAGGTTGCCCCCCACAGGGCCACACCTCCTGCCCCGGCTGAGGCTCACAAGGGTCCTCAAGTGCGGGTGGGTGGGCCAGGTCCCCACGGAGCCACTCCTCACATCCAGGCTGGGCCTCACCGGACTCTCGGGGCGGGCAGGGCCAGGCCACCTCCGGGGGGCCATGCCTCCCGTCCAGCCGAGGCTCTCCTGCTCAGGAGCCCACGTCACAACCTAGGGGCTCTGGCTAGTCCTCGGGAGGGGCCACTCGCCCACGGCCTCCGCCCGGCACCATACGTAGACGGGGAGGGTGGAGGCCTGGGACGCAGCGGGGAGGAAAGTGGACAGGAGCGCGAGGGTCGTCAGGACCTGAGCTGGCTGCGTGCGGGTGAGGGCGTTCACGGGAGTGAGTGGTGGGGTGTGTTGTCTGTCAATGCATGCACGTGGCACCCAGGCTTGAGCTCTCTGTGGCCGGCGGGCAGCCTGCCAGGCTAGTGTCCCCGCAAGAGCAGAGGGCACATGGCCAGTGAGTGTCTGGCCCGGTGGCTGCTGGTGACACGGGTGAAACTCGGCCGCCTCGGGGCTGGGAGCAGCTCCCTGCCCTGGCGCCTCTGTGTTTGGGAGGCTCCCAGCAGCTGAGGCCAGCTCAGAGGCTCCAGAGAGGGCCGCGGAGGAGGCCGTGGCGACCTAACGGTCGTGGGGACCCCCAGAGACGTCCTGGAAAAGCGCGTGACGTGCTGACCCTGCCTGAGTGGAGCTGCCTGCAGTTTGTCCTCCCTTGACGGCCTGGTGTCCCCCCGGCTGGGCCAGTGGCCGCAGAGACCGCAGGCAGCGTGTAGGTCGGGGGCACAGACCTCTGGGAGATGCCCACAGCAGAGACGCATGGCGACATCACTGCTCACCCGGACACACTGGCGGGGGCCACACTCGGGCACGGGTGCCCGTGGCGGGAGGCTGGCAGGGAGAAGGGGCCCTCGGGCGAATCCCTGCCACTCAACCTCACCGTGTCATCAGCGCGTCCAGGAGCCGGAGTGCAGCCTTCGGAGCAGAGGCCGGATGGCCAGGAAACTGTCGCGTCTTCCTGCTTCCTGCTCTCTTGGGCTTTAAAAATGGCTTCTTTATTTATTTTTATCTACTTATTTTTGAGTTGGGGTCTCACTCTGTTGCCTGGGCTGGAGTGCAGTGGCGTGCTCACAGCCGCCGCAGCCTCGACTTCCTAGCCTCAGGCGATCCTTCCACTCCAGCCTCCTGAGTAGCTGGGACGACTACTACACCTGGCTACTTTTTTTTTTTTGAGTCGGAGTCTCACTCTGTCGCCCAGACTGGAGTGCAGTGGCCGCTCCCGGCCACCGCAGCCTCAACCTGCTGGGCTCCGGCGATCCTTCCGCCTTGGCCTTCCGAGTAGCCGGAACTACAGGCGTGCGCTACCACGCCCGGCTGATTTTTTGATTTATTGTAGAGATGAGGTCTCGCTGCCCAGGCGGGTCTTGAACCCGCGGGCTCAGGCAATCCGCTCACCTCAGCCTCCCAAAGGCGCGGGATGACAGGCTGAGTCACCGAGCCCGGCCCACCTGGCTACTTTAAAAATTTCTTTGTAGTGGTGGGGCCTTACTGTGTTGCCCAGGTAGCTCTCAAACTGCTGGGCTCAAGCAGTCCTCCCGCCTTGGCCTCCCAGAGTGCTGGGATTGCAGGCATGAGCCACCACGCCCAGCTAAAAGTCACTTTGTGTAAAACACCGTTTTATATGCCAGCAGGGTGCTGGGGCTCTGCTGGCTTCTGGAACATGCGTGCACCTGGACATGTGTGTGCGTGGACGTCCTATTGCGTTAGTCTGCTGTGGGCGTTGGGGCAGAGGGCCTTGCCCGTGAGTGGCAGGGTTTGGTCTCGTGGCTCTGGCGGCTGCAGGGCCGAGCTCTGGGTGTCCGCAGGGAGGCCGCTCCTGAGGCCGTGAGGAGAGTCCGGTCCAGCCTCCGTGCATGGCATCCCAGCCCGACCCCGCTTGTCCCGTGTGGCTCCTCCCTGTGTTTCCATGTCCAGTTTCTCCTTGGTCGAGACCCACCCTGCTCCCCGTGACCCCGTCTTCACATCTGCCCTGTCCTTTTGCCAGGGGAGGTCACTGGCCCAGGAACCCGGGGTAGGCCCTCGACCCAGCACTGGGGCCTGACATCCACGTGGTTGACGGCGTGCGTGAGCTCGCGTGTGCTGCTTTCCGAGCCCGCCGCGACACCTGCTCGTTTCCGTGCGTCCGGCCGCAGCCCCGTGGCCTTCGCGCTCGGTCGTAGGGCCTCACCGCGTCGGCCTCCACCGGCCACAACGACGCGGTCTCCGTCCAGGCTCCTTCTGCTTTCTGCGTCGAGCTCTTGGGGTCCGTCTGCGAAGGCGGCCCAGCTGGAGGGCCACGGAGGGCTGGGCGTGGGCCGCCTTGTCCTGTTCTCTTGGCAGGCGTGAGTGAGCGCAGCAGGTCCCATCGGCGGCCTGGGGACCGTGAGGTTCCACTCACGGGTCGCTTGGAGGACGCGGCTCCAGGGAGGACCGAAGGGGCAGAGGGGCCAGCAGGCAGGGGGCCGTGGACTCGTTCGGCGGCTTAAAACTCAGTGTGAATTTCCGTGTCTCGTTTTTCTGCTTTCAGGGGATGAATTTTATAGCAGGATATCTGATTCTGATAACAAAGAACGAAGAAGAATCTTTTTGGCTCTTAGATGCTCTTGTTGGACGGATACTGCCTGGTACGTGCACGCTCCCGCCGTGTGCCCAACCGCCCGGGGACAGGTGCTGTCGAAAGGGTGTCCCCAGCAGGGTCGAGATCTGATTAGCGCACCGTTGAATGGTCTGGGAGTTGAGGTTAAGGGTCCGTATGCACTTGGGAAAAAGATCCCTTTGCAGTTGAGCTAAAGAGAGGAAAACCCTTAATGGCTGGTTCCCCCGCCGCAGCCGGCCCTGTCTCTACCTGGTGGGGTTCCCGGTGCCACGGTCCTGGAGCGAGAGCGGCTGGGGCTGGGTGTGGGTGCTCGGTCCCTCGGTGGGCGGGACCAGGTGTGGGTCCTCCTTCCACAGTGGGCGGCTTTTGTGGCGAGTCTTGTGGGGCCGCAGTGTAGACCGTGCTGCTCGAAGGTCCCCACGGCCCACCTGGTCTCACGTGTGGACTGTTGCTGAGATCGTGATTCCGGGCGACACCACAGTACTTGGCAGCTGGGATGGCCTTTTGGGGTGAAGACGTTTTTTCAGATCTTTCTACTTCCTGTGCAGTGACTGTGTCGTGGAAGAGGAATTAATAATGTGCTTATCAATAAAAACAGGACCTGCCGGTGTTAGTGACGTGCACTGCACCCCATGCAGGGCGGTGTCAGGTCCCTTGGGGCGAGATGGAGCTCGAACTGGCGGGTGGGCGGGGCCCCGGGGCAGCGGCTGTGCCGGCACCTGCCCAGCGGGGCTGTGCCTTGGGCGCGTGGGCCGTCTGGGCCTGCGGGGAGGATGAGGTGAGGGTGGCCCCTGGCGTCCAGCACGTGAGAGGGTGCTGGACACAGCTGTCGGGTGAGTGCACCAGGCTCACGAGAGATGGCGTGCACATCCCAGTCGGTCCCCAGGGCAAGGGACCCCCAGACTCATCTGCAGAACCCACTTCACAGATGAGGAGACGATCCCAGAGGCTGAGCGCCGGCCGGTCACCAGCTCCGAGGGGTGAGCCTGGTGCAGGGCCCGCTGTGCCCCCTCGGACCTCTGTGTCTGTCCTCGCTGAAGAGATGACGCTTGTGTGACCCAGGACGGGGGAGCTGAGAGTGGACCCAAGCACCAGCCCTGTCCCGGCCACCTGCTAACCCACACGGTGCAGGTGGGGTGCCGCGGGGAGAGACGTGCCGAGACCCCAGAGCCAGAGTGAGGCTCCCAGCTAGCTAAGACAAGTGTGAAGCTGGGGTAGAGAGAAAGCTCTTAGACACAATTCAGAGAGCGCAGCAGATGTCGATCATTTTAATGATATTAAAATGTGTAGAGCTAATCTTGATAGAAGGCATCACAAGCAAAGTGAAAAGACAAGCTGTGGGCTTTGTGAGGGCATCTTCGATCCCACATATTTTTTTTTTTTTTTTTGAGTCGGAATCTCACTCCGTGGCCCAGGCTGGAGGGCAGGGGCAGGCTCACGGCCACCGCAGCCTCGACCGCCTGGGCTCAGGCGATCCTCCCGCCTCGGCCTTCCAAGTAGTTGGGACTAGAGGCACGCGCCAACACCTCCAGCACATTTTTGTTGATTTATTGTACTGACGAGGTCTCGCCAAGTTGCCCAGGCTGGTCTCAAACCTCTGGGCTCAGGCCGTCCTCTCACCTCCGCCTCCCAAAGTGCTGGAGTGACAGGTGTGAGCCACTGCGCCCAGTGGGATCTCATATTTAACAAAGGATTAGTATCTGGGTTATTGAATAATTTATGAAAGTCAAGTAGAAAGGAGATCGGCTCAGCGAACATGAGGTGAAGCATGTGCCCAGCAGATAGGAGCCCAAATGACCGACCAACTATGAAAAGACAACAGTTGGCCGAGCGTGGTGGCTCAGCCTGAAATCCCAGCACTTTTGGGAGGTCGAGGTGAGAGGATTGCCTGAGTCTACGGGTTTGAGACCAGCCCTGGCAACTTGGTGAGACCTCATCTCTACAATAAATTTAAAAATTAGCCGGGTGGGTGGTACGTGCCTGTACTTCCAGCTGCTTGGAAGGCTGAGGCGGAAGGATCGCCGGAGCCCAGCAGGTCAAGGCTGTGGTGGCCGGGAGCAGCCACTGCACTCCAGTCTGGGTGACAGAGTGAGACTCTGACTCAGAAAAAAAGAAAGGAAGGAAAGAAAGAAAGATAGGGAAACAGGCTGCTCATGACGTGGCCCAGAATACCTCGGCTCCGACTGGGAGGATGGCCAAGATGTGGACACAAGCAGGTTCTGTCGGGGCCACAGCTTGGCCCAGCGCAGAGGCCGGCGAGTGAGGCTCGTGGCCAAAAATTTCATCCGCCCAAACCGAGGTGCGTTTCCACACCTGAGTGATGTCCCCCGAGGGTCACCTGTCCTGGTATGGTGTCTACGGGGCCTGTGCCAGGCCCCCTGAACTTGGTCTTTCTCAGGTAGGCCCTCCTGGGGGTCAGGAGCGTTCGTGTTAGGACCCGACCACCCAGGCCTACACCCCAGCTCCGCCACGGAAAGGTCGCGCCGCAGTGGCGGCCGCATGGATTCTGCACCTGTGAGTCTCACAAGTTGCCTCATATGCCGCGAAGTCCTGGAAACGTGACACAGCCCTGAGCCCTACGCTGGCCGTCACTGCACGCTCAAGGGCTCTCAGTTCCAGCAGAGGAAGTCTCATGGGGTGGCTCTCCCGTTAGTTGTCGAGTTTACAGTCCTTGTGCTAATGGCGTGGACTCAGTCATTGCCCGGTTTTCTTTTCTTTTTTTATGAGCTGGACTCTCACTCTGTCGCCCAGACTGGGGGGCATGGGGCAATTCCCAGCCACTGCAGCCTCGACCTGCTGGGCTTTGGCGATCTTTCCACCTCAGCCTTCGAAGGAGCCGGAACTACAGGCACGCGCTACCACGCCTGGCTCATTTTTTTGATTTATTGTAGAGATGAGGTGCCATCAAGTTGCCCGGGCTGGTCTCAAACCCACGGGATTAGGCCATCCACCTGCCTCGGCTTCCCAAAATGCTGGGATGACAGGCTGAGCCACCAAGCCTGGTCCATTGCCCGGTTTTCTACTAAGCCTCTCCCCCGAGCTCTTAGCTACTTGTACACTTTCAAAGCGTCGTGGGTTGCAGGTGCTTTCATTCCCCCCTGGGGGGCTTAGGAAGAAAGAGAAAACCAGAAGCTGTTGGCCCCAGGGCTTTTCCACTTGGAAGAGCGCTTGGTGGAATGAACTGGACATTGAAGATGACTTTTTCGGAGGTTTCAGAAATCATCGGAAAGGCTTTTAAAACCTGTATTTCAGAATTGAGAAAGATCTGAGTTGGGCTGACGCATGAACTCCAAGGTGGACACAACTTCACTGGCCTTGCAGGGGGTGGGGGTCTCTGTTCTTCCTCTGCGGGCAGAGAGAGCGTTGAGATGAGCCAACCTCACAGACCCAAACCCAGCAGCGGAATTAAAGGCATGACAGGCCCCGTAGGGGGGCGTCCGAATGTTTCGTCCCCACGCCGTTTTCCAGCCTGTATTTTAACAGTGAAACTGTGTGTTGATAGGCTTCATCACAGCAACCTTGCCAACTAAGTGTGATTATCCCTGTTTTATAAATGAGGGAAATGAGCCTGGCTGAGATTCGATACCTTTTGCTTAAGTCCTAGGCTGATTCTAACGTGAAAAAAACAATTCTAGCCCGGCGCCGTGGCTCGCGCCTTGAATCCCAGCACTCTGGGAGACTGAGGCGGGAGGAGGTTGAGACCAGCCAGGACAAGGTAGCGAGACCCCGTCTCTACAGAAAATTTAAAAATTAGCCGGTGTGCTGGCCTGCACCTGTAGTCCCAGATAGTTGGGAGGTTGAGATGGGAGGATCCCCTGAGCCCAGGAGTTTGAGGCTGCACTCCAGCCCGAGCCACACTCTGTCTCTAAAAAGAAAAGCAGTTTTGTCCATCTAGCTCTGTTCTGGTAACATCATGGCGAGCTGGACAGAGTCGATCTTGTCTCACGGTTCTGTGTGCGCATGTGTGTCTGTGTAGGTGTTTTGAAAAGCCACATTCTGGGCAAGTTCTGGAGCGCAGTCTAGGCAGCCGCGTGTCTTGGCAGATGTGAACGGTTTGGGCAGCAGGGATGCGGGTCTCTGTCGAATGGACGTTGGACGGCCTCTGGCCTTTGCCTGTGAAATGTCACGCACGAGCAACTCAGAAATGCCGCTTCACGGTGGCGTCTTGCCGTCCTGGGGCCCGGAGGGTCGTGCAGGCACCCGGAGGCCCACTAGCAGAAGCTTTCCCAGGACCCGTGTGCGCCCTTGCCCCGTCGGGGTCCTGGGAGGCTGCCAGCGGGCGCTCGGCCTTGGGAGTCCGCTGTCGGGCCCGTGCTGTGTCACAGCCACTGTCCCGGGGCTCAGGGCACCCGTGGGGTGTCGTGTCCCCGGTGGAGAAGCGGTGCCTGGGGATCCCTGAGAGGCGCAGGGGAGAAGGGACCCCCCTCCTGCCCAGCTAGGTGGGTGCTGGCGGGGGCACCCCAGCGGGCATCAGGAAGCCAGCGCCCCCTGCCCCCACCACGGCTGCAGCCCTGCAGTCTCCAGCGAGGCTGTCACAGATGAGAGGTGATCCCAGTGGTACAGAGTCCTTGTTGGCCCTTTCCAGGGCCTGGCACATGGAGGGCTCCCCTTTGGAGGAGGACTTAGGGCTTATCTCCCACCTGGGAGAGGGGGGCATTTGCATGTTGTATTTTTTCAATTAAGTTTTGCAGTGTTTGTTTTGCCTGTTGAAACAGCAACCAGGCCAGGTGGGGTGGCTCACGCGTGTCATCCCAGCCTTCTGGGGGGCAGAGGCAAGAGGGTTGTTCGAGACCAACCTGGGCAGCACGGCAAGACCGCGTGGCTGCAATAAATAACATTAGCCAGGTGAGGTGGTGCGTGCCCGTGGTTCCAGCTACCTGCTTGGAAGGCTGAGGCGGGAGGATTGCCTGGGCCCAGCAGGTCGAGCCTGCCATGGCCGTGAGCGTGTCCCTGCACTCCAGCCTGGGCGACAGTGAGACTCCAACCCGAAAAACAAAGAAAGACAAGCAGCCGTCTTTTGGGCCCTCGGCTGGGCATCCATCCCAAAGAAAGGGAGTCGGTGTGATGAAGAGAGACTGCACCCCCTGTCCACCGCCGTGGTGCTCACAGTGACCACGATGACCGGCAGAGGCGCCGTGGGATTCCATTCCAGCACACAAACGGAGGAAACCCTGTCATTGGCAACAACGTGGATGGAACTGGGGGACACCGAGGGACAGAGGCCACACTCAGAAGGACAGAAGTCCCGTGTTCTCACGCCCATGGGGGAGCTAAGAAGACGGAACTTACGGAGGCAGAGAGCAGCGTGCTGGTTAGCAGAGGCCGGAAGGGTGGTGGGAGAGGGGAGAGAGAGTCTGGGTTAAGCTGGCGTAAAGTGCAGATTGGCGGAGGGTGAGGGCCCAGGATTAGGTCGCAAACAGGGTGAAAATGCAGTTAACGAGTCATTTGTTTTGTATCGTTCCTTGGCCTGGCAGAGACAGGACAGCTATTGTGTGTTTCAGAATAGCTAAAAGGATGGCACTAGGATGTTCCCAACACAGAGGCTGGCCCCCCAGCACAGAGACGGCACTGTGTGTGGGGGCTGGCGCCCCAGCATCCAGGTGTGGTTGCTGCACACTGCACGCCGGCACCAGGCCCTCCAGGGGTCCAACTCCCTTGTTCCTAAGAAGCAAACACTGAAGACTCAGTTCTTGTATCATCACAAGCGAGTGGGTTTCGGCGTCAGCCAGACGCAGACGCCTACAAGGCAAATGGCGTCTGCCCTTCATCCCCGTCCTCCTTTGACATTGACCCGCCTCGTCGCGGTCTGGCGGGCTGGTCGCTTTCCAGCATTCTCTCTGGGGACTGGAAGTCTCACGTGGTCCTCAGACCCAGCCAGAGCCCTCCCTGCCTCCTCAGGGATCCGCCGTCAAAACAGACAATTCTTGAACCTACAGGTTTATGCACCTTTTTTTTTTGAGTTGGAGTCTCGCTCTGTCGCCCAGGCTGGAGTGCCGTGGCGCGCTCACGGCCACCCCAGCATCAACCTGCTGGGCTCCGGCGATCCTTCCGCCTCAGCCTTCCGAGTAGCCGGAACTACAGGCGCGCGCTACCATGCCCGGCTAGTTTTTAATTTGTGTAGAGACGAGGTCTTGCCAAGTTGCCCAGGTGGGTCTCAAACTCACAGGCTCAGGCAGTCCATTCGTCTCGGGCTCCCAAAGTGCTGGGATGACAGGCTGAGCCACCAAGCCCGGCCGACACTTCTTCTTTTAAGGTGGGATCTCACTCTGTTTCCAGGCTCCCGTGCAGTGGCGCTATCATGGCTCAGCGCAGCCTCTAACTCCTGGGCGTGAGCCCTCCTCTTGTGTCAGCCTCCCAAGAGTAGCTGGGACTGCAGGCACGCACCACTGAACCTGGCCAATATTTTTACTTTTTGTAGACACAAGGTCTGGCTATGTTGCCCAGCCTGGGCTCGGCTCAAACTCCCGGGCTCCGGCAGTCCTCCCGCCTCAGCCTCCCACAGTGCTGGGATTCAAGGTGTGCACCGCCATGCCCAGCTTTTTTTTCTGTTCCAAGACTTGTTGTGTCTGGCGTACTGGGGATGTCCACCAGTCCTCGTACTCCCTCTGGGACAGATTCGAGCCTGCTGACAGCCTCAAATCCAGACTCCAGCGGAGAGTTGTTCAGAGGTGAGCACTGCTCTCTTCCAGGGCGGGTCCCGACCACCTCAGGGAACGACGTCCACACCCAGCGCTCCTAACGCCTTCGGTTCCCAGGTGTTGGGGCTGACTTGCCAGTTCCCGGTTGACCGCAAGCCAGGGCGGGTCGTGGCAGCGTGGGCGGCCTGGGCGGCTGGCGTCCCTCTCTCCGGGGCCTGGGTGCACGCTGCTCGGGGCCTCTGGTGTCGACTGGCCGGAAACGGTCCGTGTGTACGTGTGCGCACACGTGTGTTTTGCGTGCTTTCCAGGTGGTGTGCACACGCTCCAGGCACGCCCCGCAGTGCGTGCAGCTCGTGGTGACGGCACCTCTGTGGAGCCAAAGCGGGCTGCAACCGGTCCTCACCTCCTGCAGCTCCACGGCCACTCGGAGCGTCTTTGCAGCCTGCTGGCCTGTGGGCAACCCCAGGGTGTCACGTGGCCTCGCCTGGTTCTAATGGTGCTACTGGCTGAGTGCGGTGGCTCACGCCTGTAATCTCAGCACTTTGGGAGGCTGAGGTGGGAGGATCACCTGAGGCCAGGATTTGGAGACCAGAATGGACAACATAGTGAGATCCTGTCTTTACGAAAATCAGAATGAGTGATTTTTAAAGTTGTAGGCGTGGGAGTGCATGTGCAGGTTGGTGACATGGGTGGACTGGGTGAGGACGCGGTTCAGGCCTCTTTTGAACCCAAGCAGTGAGCACAATACTCGGTGGTGGCCTCCCATCCCTCCCCCCTCAGGAGTCCCCAGTGTCCGCTTCCTAATGTCCAGCCCAGCTACACCAGCCCCTCTGCAGGGCCTGGAGGGGTCCCCTGGCCTTCCACGCTCAGGCCACTCCCAGAGCGGGGAGGGCTGAGCACAGGGGTTATGTAATCCTCCCTGTGACCGGCTCAGCCCTGTGGAGTTCAGGGCACAAGTTTAGCGTGTCTATTTTTGGAGGCTGTTCTAAGCTTCTCTGTGCCGGGGCCAAGGTCACGCCGTGCCGCGCTGCAAATCCCACTCCGCCCCGGGCCCCGCCCCCACAGCCCCCATGGGATCAGGGCACCCGATGGGTGTCCACACCTTGCCCCCAGCTGGAGCACAGGCGCTCCGTTAAGAAGGGTTAGGAGAGGGCGGGGCTCAGAGCTTCTGGAGACAGGTACGCAAGGGCGTGGGGGAACCTCTAATCCCTGGGCTGAGCTGGGCCGGCTCGTGACCTCCTCTCGGGGGCCCGAGAGTTCCACGCGCTCCGCATGCGCCAACTCAAAGCTAGTGGCGTGGCCATGACGTCACGTATCTGTACCGACTGTTTTTTTTGTTTTCGTTTTTGTTTTTGTTTTTTCACGTGAAAAGTTTTCAGTTTATTAAGCTGGTCGTGAAAAATCCAAACAATGGCCACAGATCCCATCACTGCACCATCTTTAGTCCTTGGCCTGTTATCCAGTCTCCAGCTCACTTTCTGCCAGCACCAACATTGGCTTTTGCAGTCCCCCTGACTTTCTTCATTCTGTTCTTGCGTTCTTTTCGCTGCTTCCTTGAGGCCTTTTTCTTCTCATACAGGCCATGTCTTGCAAGTCTATGTTTGGGTTCATTTTTCTTGGCATAATCCAAGGAATCATAAATCATGCCAAAGCCAGTTGTCTTGCCACCACCAAAATGAGTTCTGAATCCAAATACAAAGATGACATCTGGTGTTGTCTTGTACATTTTGGCTAGTTTTTCCCGAATTTCTGTCTTCGGTACTGTTGCCTTCCCGGGGTGAAGGACATCGATGACCGTTTGTTTCCGTTGAAGCAGACGGTTGTTCATGAGTTTCCTGGTCCGAATAGTTACCGAGTCGTTCATGATGGCTGTCAATCCTCAGGCAGCCAGGGAGTGTACCGACTGCTTTAATCGAGACACTGGGCCGGGCGCGGTGGCTCACGCCTGTAATCCCGGCACTTTGGAAGGCTGAGGGGCGAGGACTGCCTGAGCCCGTGGGCTTGAGACCTGCCTGGGCATCTTGGCGAGACCTCATCTCTGCAATAAATCAAGAAATGAGCCGGGTGTGGTGGCGCGTGCCTGTAGTTCCCGCTACTTGGAAAGCTGAGGCGGAAGGATCGCCCTGAGCCCAGCAGGTCGAGGCTGCGGTGGCCAGGAATGTGCCACTGCTCTCCAGCTTGTGTGGCCGAGCGAGACGCCAACTCAAAAACAAAATTCAAGACACTGAATGATCAAGCTCAGCTCAGTCGCCCCCGCCCAGTGTGGCCAGGTGCACGCGGCAGCAGATGGGCCCAGACTCCACGGCGTGTGGCCACGGTCACACGACCGCGCAGTGAGTTCTCTCGTCACATAAATCCAACACTGACATCCATCCAGTGTAACACATCACACCAACACACTAGAAGACGAGGCAGGAAGCCGCGAAGGGCTTTGCGAGACAGATGTGCGTTCAAAGGGGAGACGCTGCGCGTGTCTGTCCGCGTGACAGTTGAGTTTTTGTTGTGCTAAAAACGCGCCCCATGAAGCTCGCCGTCCTCACCAAGTTCAGGTGCCTGTGGGGTGGGGATGGAACCTTCACACTGCTGCGCACCCGTCACCGCCGTCCCCTCCAGAACCTTCTTGTCGTCTGAAACTGAAGCTCTGTCCCGCCAGACACTGACTCCCCGGCCCCCGCCAGCCCCCGTGGCACCCGCCATTCTCTCGTCTCCCCGGGTCTGATGACTCGAGACTGGCAGAGTGACCCGCGTGGGGCTTGTCCTCTGGCACTGACTTGCCTCACACCTGGGCGGGCCCTGCTACGGCAGGTGTCAGGACGTCCTTCCTCTTCGAGGCTGAGTGGCGTCCCCGTGTGGATGGGCCACGCCGCGCGCTCCCATCCGCCCGGATGGACGCCGGGCTGCCCCGCCTCTCGGCTGCCACGAGCACAGCTGTGCCCACATCTCTCTGGGTCCCGTCTCCCACCTGAGGCTTACCAGGCGCCTGGCGTGGGTGGTCTCCAGCCTCCCTCCCCGAGCCCCTGGGACATCCCAAGGGCCTCGCCACGGGAGTCCCCTCGGAGACCGGGACATCCCGAGGGCCTCGCCGTGGGATTTCTCCCCAGAGCCCCGTGCCCGCAGGCCTGGCCTGGCCTGGCCTCGACTCCCGCTCCTGCCTCGGGGACGGCCACGGCCCTGATTTCTTCCTCCGGCTCGGAGGGAGCTGAGGCCGCCGGGGCTGGTGGCTTGCAGGGCGGGCGACGAGTGCCCTCTCCCCCGCAGACTACTACAGCCCGGCCATGCTGGGCCTGAAGACCGACCAGGAGGTGCTGGGCGAGCTGGTGCGGGCGAAGCTGCCGGCCGTGGGGGCGCTGGTGGAGCGGCTGGGCGCGCTGTGGACGCTGCTGGTGTCGCGCTGGTTCATCTGCCTGTTTGTGGACGTGCTGCCCGTGGAGGTGAGCCCCGCGCGTGGCGGGGGCCCCCGGTGGGCAGGGGGGGCGGGCCCCTGTGCCGACACGCTTCTGCTCGCCGCAGACCGTGCTCCGCATCTGGGACTGTCTGTTCAACGAGGGCTCCAAGATCATCTTCCGGGTGGCCCTGACCCTCATCAAGCAGCACCAGGCGCTGATCCTGGAGGCCACCAGCATCCCCGACATCTGCGAGAAGTTCAAGCAGATCACCCAGGGCAGCTTCGCCACCGAGTGTCACGTGTTCATGCAGGTGAGCGAGAGGGGCGCCGTGGCTCGTCCCCGTCCCCGGCGGGGCTTCTGCCTGCCCG